TTTTATGTCGGGATTATCTTGTGATAAAACACTATTTTGCATAAATGGTTATTTTTTTTTCTGAGCTGTTTTGTTGTTATGCCCTCTTTTATCTCAATCTCCATTTTATTACTTTTTTATTTTTATCCTTTTAATTAAGGGAAAAATTAAAATAAATAGCAGGATATATTATAGTAACCCACTTTGATTTATCATTAACTTGATTTGAAGCCCTGTATTGCTCTCACCATCTTGTTTTGACTGATGTTCCTCTATTCTGTTTTGCTTGATAGTACCAGGTTTGAAAGTATAGGCAACAGCTGTGAAGATAGTGGGATTCATTATAACGCCCATTCTGGTTGACTATTATCTACTTTTGAAGACCTGTAATGTCTCCAATGTTTTGGTTTTGTTGGTTTCGTTCTTTACTGTTTTGTTCAATTTTATTATAACTGATGATATAGGCAATTCTATTAGAGATAACGGGAGGCATTATGGTAACCATTGTTGATCACCTTGTATTATGTTTTTACATTATCTATTATGTCCACCCTTTTGATTTGACCGACTCTGTTCTGTTATGTCACATTTGGTTTTACTCTCTTCCAAAAAAAGTAATAAGAACTGTAGGAGCAATAAAACCCAAAATGTGTAATAGTCATTGTACAAAAGAGAGGAAAAGAAAGTGCTCTAAATGATACAACTGCATGTATATTTAAGTGTATGAGATAGACAATGATATTACTGAGTTTTGTTGGATCATTGAACAGAACTGTTTGGTCTCACTGTTTGAATGTCCACTATATAAGCTTTAATTTTGTAACTTGAACAAATATTTCTAAGATGACAATATGTAATCCATTAACTAGTGATTTCCTACTGTTTATTATTTTTCTGAAATTCTGTATAACCTGTACCCTTTCTCTGCTTTCTTTTCTTTTTCCCCTTAAATAAAATTTTAAAAAAATATATTTACAATCACCTACTATGTTTACATTCTGTTAAATCAGGACACAACAAATGTCCCCAGGCCAAGCCCACGCTGCTGCCGGTCTCTGTTAGTGAAGCACCGCCGCACACACTCGTGTGTTTACTTGTCCACAGCCACGTCCGTACTAAAATACCACAGGACCCCCAGACTCCAAGCATCTCCTCTCGGCTCCTCCCAGGAAAGGCTGTCAGCGCCCCCCACGCATGCTGTGGTCCTGAGTTCTCCTCCGCTTGTCCCGGGCCTGCAGGCAGAGATCATCACTGGAGGAAATCACTGCTCATCCCTAGCAGCGATGACCCCTTTGACTCGGGCTTCGCCAGCCCTACAGAGGCATGAAACCAGAAATAATTAAAGAATTCACAATAGTTTAGAATGTCTGTATCTAAAAAAGAAAAATCAAAATCGTATCAGAAAGCAAGATGAAATCACACAGTATCGGGAGAGAGCACCTTAAAGGAACACTTTATAAAAGCATTGAAGAGCGGTGTGAAACAACCAAGAGGATGAAATAGGGGTCGAGAGAAAAACAACGGAAAACAAAGGTACGCAAGAGAAGCTGGACATCTATTTACTGATTCTCTGCAAGAGAAACTTTTAAGAGGGTGAAACCGCATCACCCTGCAGCCTTGAACTGCACGTCCTGGCAGTGAAAGACACTGAGCATTTCTCATGCATTTATTGGCTGTTAGTATTTCTTCCTTTGAGAAGTGTCTATTCAGGTCACTGGCTCATTTTTAACTGGATGGCTTGCTTCTTGGTGTTTAGTTTCATATGTATCTTATGTACCCAGTCACAATAGCTAGGATATGAAATCCACCAAGGTAACCATCAGCAGACAAATGGATAAATACGGTAAATATGTACAGCAGAGCATTACACAGCTATGAAAGGAAAGGAATCTCATCCTCTGCACAGAAATGGAGAGACCTGGAGGACAGTGCGCTACACAAAACAAGCCAGACCCTGGAGGACAAGCCCAATGTCTCCTTCCTGGAAGCTGCAGGACGCCAACCCGAGAGTTTAACAGTGACTATCGGGAACCAATAAAGGGGTGTTGGATATGACTGACACACACCGCTAAAGAAAGGTGCAGTCAATATATATTAATAAAAAAGTAAGTGGAACGTGCAGGTGCATGTCTTTAATCCCATACTCTAGGAGGCTGAAACAGGAGAATTTCACATTTGAGCTCAGCCTAGGCAGTTTAGCAAGACCCTGTCTCAAAATAAAAAGTAAGTAAAGCTGGAGGCACAGCTCATTACAGAGGCCACCCTGGGTTCAAACCCAATATCAAATAACTAAGTAAAGATTAAAGGAAAGAAACTAATACTTAAAAAAATCCAACAGCTATTTCCACAAATAAAAGACTTGAATCTAAAAACTAAAAGAGCCTCATAGACGCAAGGGAAGATTGGCCCGGAATCATTGCCCAGCAGATGTCCTCATTAGACCTCCCAGATCAAGGTGGGTGCCCTCAGGGACCTCCAGGCGCAAAGACAAACAGCTTACAAAGGCAAAAACTGAGATTGGCCTCAAACTTCTCAAAAGCAACTACAAAGCAAGATAGCAGCAGAACAGCGGATTTACAAAACTTAAAAAGCATAAATGAAGCATGAAACAGCCCTCACAGCCCACTCAGCTGTTTCTTTAGTCTCCAGGCCAGGGAAAACCCACTGCCAGGTCTGGGAGTGACCCCAGTGCCCTTCCACAGCTCTGGAAGGACAGATGTCACCCAGCCAGGAACAGACTGAGGCCTGCGGGACTCGCAGAGCCATCTCATGTGTTCAGCTTCAGAGGTCAGAGCCAGCCAGGAGCAGGTGACAGGCTGAGCCAGGACAAAGGAGGGATGCACATTCTGCCACAGTTGAAGAGCACAAGTGAGAAGCCAGGGTCATGAGTCAGCTTCCTGCCACTGTGACAAAATGCCTGAGACCGCCAACTTCGAAGGAGGAAAGGTTTATTGGGCTCCTGGTTTCAGGGGTTTCAGTCTAGGGTCACTGGACTCTGTTGCTTTGGGCCTGTGGAGGCAGCATGAGCCATGGCAAGAGACTGCAAAGGAGGAGCCTGGGAGGCAAAAGCGAGAGAGGAAGGGCCAGGGTTCCAATATCCCTTTCCAGGTCACACCAGTGACCTCACATCCTCCCACCAGGTCCCGCCTTTTAGAGGTCCCTGCCAATAGCCACTGACCAGCGGCCAAGGCTTGAAGACACAGCCTTTGAAACACTCACCTGTCACCCAAACCACAGCACAGCAGAGGACAGGACAGAAAGTCCAATGCAATGGCTATAAATGCTGCACGGGAGGTCAGAGGAGGCCAAAGGACACCATTCAGGCTTGACTGATATTAAAACCTAAGTCAGAATAAAGGTAACCAGGATCACGTAAAATGTGTTAATAAAACTGAAACTTTCCAGAACACCAAAATAAAATGTTCTAAAAATCAGAGATGTGCCGATGTGATGCCTCTAACCCCAGCGCTCGGGAGGCTGAGACAGGAGGATCTCCACAAGTTCAAGGCCAGCCTGGACTATAGAAGTGAGGTTTATGTCATTGCTACACAGGGAGACCCTGACTGAAAAGAAAACCAGAGAAGATGTAACAAATAGGAAGGAAAAAGCATGGTACATTTGAAGGCATTTACATAATAACCACAAAGGAATACAGCAGGCATAACTGAGAGTGAACATCAGTCACATCCATAAAAGGGAGTAGGCGGAAACTATCTGACAGTGGAAATTTGTAAAACTCGGTATATAAAGTAAATCCTAACTCTACAGCATCACACACACGCACCAAATACAATTCTAAAAGACTACAAGGATGATCAAAAATGAAACAGGATTTTTAAAAGCAGAGGTCACAATCCTGATGTCAAAGGAGACTTCAAGCCAAAGGAAGCATTTAACAAGGCAAAGAAGGGCATTTTCTAATGTAAAAGTCTCCTTCTGCGGGGAGGTTGGAGCCCCAACATCAGGTGCCCAGAACCCCACACCTGCCCACGTGGCACCGGAAAAACCACGCAGGGGAAATAAAGAGCAACGCGGACAGCAGGATGCTTCGCCTGACGCCCTGTGGACAAGGGTAACCGAGGGCATCTGAGCAGCACAAGGTGACCTTGTGGGCCCAGCATGAGGCCCCAGTCTCAGAGCCTGTGCCCTTCTCCGCTGAGCATGAGGCGAACACTGGTGTGCTCAGTGTCTGAGTCACACGGAACGAAGATTTCCATGCAACAGACACAGAAGCAGCATCACCACTTTACTCACGGTGCAAAACTAAAAGTAGAAAACACAGACAAAGGGGGAAGGCCCTCTCCTGTGAGGATTTAAAGGCCTCCTACTCCTGAGGAGAGGGAACCACCACAGAATTGCTGCGAAAGGTGACAATGAAGACACGTCCCAGACCACGGGGTGCCCCGCAGAAGCTGAGAGGAGCCGTAGCCCGCACACTGCATCAACACAAAATCAGTGCAAAAGCAAGGCTGAAAACAGTCAGCTATAAAAAGAAGAGGGAAGCAAAAGTGAAAATAAATGTATGAGCAGAGAAAGGAGAAAATACTTTTATGCCCCTAAAAGTGAGACTTTGAGTGAAACAAATAAATCCTCTGAAAAATCCAGCTTTCCTGGTTCCCCGAACAGTGTCCAGTCCCAGCAGGTTTCACTGGTGGATTCACCTAAACCTTTGCAAACGCATGGCGAGAGGAAGGGGAGAAAGCACCGGATCTGGACGTTTGGTTGAAAACCCTCCTGGTGGACGGCTTAGACACGGGACTCAGCTGGACCACGGCACCCACCCGGGGACACGGCAGTCCCGCCGCAGCCTGGCCAGAGCCACAGCAGCCCATGCCTGCAAACAGCGACAGAAGCCAGCAGGAAGCAGACAGAGGTGCCCAGCAGGACAGGGTCACCGCCCGCCTGAGACATGGTGTCCATGCCCCGCAGATGCCACGGCACAGGGGCAGATGTAGATTTTCCAGTGATGCTGGACATAGAAGAAAGAAAAGAGAATGGATATGTAGGGGGCCGGTCCTCACCTCCTGCTTGTGTTGTCCTTTTGCTCCCAGAGTCTTGTTCTCTAATTCTCTGAATATGCGTGTGGCCGTAGTCGTGTATCCTGTTGCTGGGGTGCCATCCCTGACACCCCGACTTGAAAGAGGAGCGGTTTCAGTCCAGGGTCGGCTGGTTCCACAGAGGAACCAGGAGGAGGAGAGCAGCTCACTGCAAGGCGGACAGGAAGCAGAGAGCAGAAGGCTGGAGGGGAGAAGCACCCTTCCAGGCTGCACCTGGTGACCCCTCCCAATAGCAAGCAGCTGTGAGCCCCATGACCCAGGTGCCTTCTGAAAGCCCTGCCTCAGTGTGCAGGAGGCCTTGGGGCACCCAGATCTGAAGGCCGACTCAGGTGCTTGGTACAGGCAGAGCACAAGGCTCTCCACAGAAGCAAGGACACTGACCAGCAGCAGTGAGCTGTTTTCCTTCCTGCATGTGGTAGCTGCGCCTTCCCTGGTGGCAGAGAAAAGGCCCAGGGGCTGGAGGGGCAGGTCCGTCGGTTCCACAGCCCCAGCTCCCCTCAGCCCCACAGCCAGCTGGCCCTGGAGTGACACACCAACCAGTGATGCTGCAGCTGCCACAGGCACAGCGTGGGGATGGCACTGACCGCCCTGGCCCTTGGCTTCAACATCCAGAGCCAGGTGCAGAGAGACACAGGGATCACCTCGCACTGAGAGCCTGGAACAGCAAAGCGGGGAGGATGTATGCTCCCACCCAGGCCTGCTGGCCACAGAGAGTGCAGGAAGAGAGGCGGGCTGTGGCAGAAGCATGGCCAGTGCTGTTTCTTCATTGTCTGGCTGGCTCACAGGTCATCCAGCCGCACTGGCGGCCCTGGGCAGGGTGGGTACCACAGGGGGCAGTGACAGAAGCCCCGTCCTCCTGGGAGGTCTGGCCCTTCGGTAGCAGAGACAGCAGCGTGCAACATGCAGCGGATGGATTAGCTCATGCACAGTGATGAGAAGTGGCACCTGTGTCCCCCGTCACTGAGCACTTGCAGTAGGGTAAACAGAGCAGGGGCTGGAGCCAAGCCACCTGTGCAGGCCACAGCACTCTGCTCTCCTCCTGACTGCTGCAAGCTGCAAGAGGAGGAGCTGGGCAGCACTGGCCAGCGGGCTTCCTAGCAGGCGCAGCTCAGCTTCTGGGCCTTTCAGAACCACTGCAGGGCTTTCAATCCCAGGCCTCCCTGGAGATTCTGGTGGGGGTGAGGGTGAGCAGGCGTGGGAATCTGCATGTGAGCAAGCTCCCTGCCATGCAGGTGCTGGTCCTGGGCTTCCAGGGGGCAGTGATCAGTTGGCTGTGCTCTTAGAGGCCCATCAGGGGGCAGGAATGGAGGCAGAGAGGCTTCCTAGGAAGCCAGCAGAGGCCCAGGTGGACTGCTACTGAGCAGTCCCACTCCCTACCTATGGAACCCCGCGGGGGCAGGTCTGTGAAGCAGGATTGCTGCTCCAGACCTCACGCCAGAGCACCACAGAGAAGGGACTCAGAGCTGCTTAACCCCATGCTCCAATCTCAATTAGATCCAGAGAATGGGGCTGGGAATTTAGCTCAGCAGCATGAAAGCCTGCCTGGCAAGCCTGAGGGCGTGAATTCCGTCCCCTCCTCCGTACCAAACAATTGTGAATTTAAAACCTGGACCAGCCTCACCTTGGTCAGTCCTGAGGAAAATGTCAGAAAAACACCTACTGCAGGACACAGTACAAGCTGTCCCCCAGGAAACCTCCCTCCCCGCAGACTCACAGTCGCCAAAAACAAAGGCCCTCTCAGCACGTGTCTCCGCCAAGAGGCATGGGGGAGGGTCAGCCTGTGGTGTCCCAGAGGGACCCTGATGGAAGATGCTGTTACAGCTGTGTTTAGGTGTGCCCCAAAGCCTCGTGAGCTCACGGTGGGGCTCTTCAGACGTGATGGGGTCGAGGGTGTGTGACACTGGGATCAGGGCTGGTGACTACTCAGTGCTGATTGATTGGCAGAGTCTGGGCATGGACAGTGGGAAGCCCCTCCCTGGGTGGCACTGCCCAAAGGTGGGTGCCTAGGCGGGATAAAAGGGAGAGGCTGCCACTGCTGTGCTATCTGCTGCCACCATGAACTGCTCCTCCTATGCCACACCACCTGCTCTGGAGCCAGCTGATTAGGGACTGAAACCTCTGCACACTTGAGCTAAATAACCCTTACCTCCTTCAACTTTAAGTGTTGGGTATCTTATTTCAGCAATGAGAAAAGAAATTAAGTCACTGACATTGGGTAATATTAAGGAAACCAGAATAAAGTGTTGTGCTTCAGTTAATGGCAGCGTCTGGACAATGGATCGGGAATCGCAGCATACATATATCAGGGTGACATTTAACAGTAAGGGAAATGGTGGAGAGTGGGTTAGAACTTTCTGTACCAAATTTGAATTTTTCTATAAATCTGAAAGTCTAAAGGAAGTATCTCTTTAAAATTAGCAGGCCATGGTGATGTACACCTATAATTTCAGGACTCAGGAGGCTGAGGCAGGAGGATTACTGCAAGCTCAAGGCCAGCCTGGGCTACATAACAGGTTCAAGTTCGGTCTGGAATAAATAGCAAGACACTGCCTCAAAAACAATGAAGTGCTGGAAAGATAAATTGTAAAAGAAATAAAGATGAGCAAAGAGTGAGCTGTAAATAAATATGCGCTACGCAGCAGATATAAAATCATCTTTCAAGCCAGGTAAGGTAGCATCCAGCTGTAATCCCATTTCTTCAGAGGCCGAGGCGTGAAGCTGCCTCAAGTTCAAGGCCAGCCTGAACTTCATAGTCCAGACCCTGTCTCAGAAAAACCAAAACCAAAATCATTTTCAATAAATACAAAAACAAGAATTATCAAGAAAAGTGGCAAAAATCATATGCTTCTTAAATTAAAAGTGTGAATATGGGTGAACAGGTAACAAACTGCTGGTTTGCTCATAACTCTTATCATTCTGAAACTGTAACTAAAACAGCTGAGAGAGAACGGCCCGTCTCAAGCCCTGAGCGCACACCGTGAAGAATCAGGCTCCCCGGGATGAGCGCTCTTGGCGGGGCACATAAGCATGCTTGGCGCCTCGAAGGGTGTCTGTCAGCTCCGGCTACCAAGGTGCTTCTGGCCATGATGATAATACATTATTTTTGTGTCTCACTTAAATAACAAGAATTAGAGAAGAATCATTCTTACAGAACCATATTGGCAGGAGGGTAAGATTTGTTAAGGGAATTTAATAAGTTTGGGATAGTCATGTCTGATCTTTATTCAAAAGAACAACATAATATACTATTTTATTTTCAAAATTTATTTTCAGTCTATCTACATTTAGATGATCTCTCAGTGAAAGAATGGATGTCAAATCAATGAATATCCTAGGTAAAGGAATTTTTCTTTTACTGAAAAATAAAACTCAGGAACTCTATCAAAATCCATAGGGTGTGCTGGTAACTTCCTGCATTTTTAGAATGTCTGGATCGTCACTTATTTGGTAATCACTGTTAAGTTGTGAAGTATGCCGTAAGAAGCTGTAGAAACTCTGCTGTTCAAGCTTCTGACTTTTTCTTCCACTTTGATCTTGTCTGCTATTGAAAATTGTGCTGTGCTCCTCTTCCTTGTGGAAATTAGAATCATTATAATATAGAAGATACCAAACAGATAAGCAGCCCCCATGATCCAAGATTCATCTCCCTCAAAGATAAGCCTTGGCGGCTTTCCCATCTTCCAGGAATTAAGTTTTTCGATGGAGCGAGCACTCGCAACTCTTCTTTTAGAATCATCTTGCTTTAGTATGCAGTGGGAGCCGCTTTAATTCATCTTCTTTATTGTCGCGCAGTAAAGAAAATAACACAGAGAGAAATCCACCACCTTTTCTTATTTGCAAATTTTATAACGTCACTCAGTGCATTGGCTTTTCAGACCAAGATATTCTCAAGAAAGGAAATGATCTGTAGGTTTTCCTTCTGACCCAGGGTCCTTGATTTGGATAACTACAAAATTTTCTTTTCACTGAAATTATGACATCAGATTATACTTCTGCATAAAACCTAAATTCTGAAACATTTGTTAATATTGCAACACTTCAGTGTTATAAGTGGAATCTAATAATATTAACAGTGGAACTGAAAAGTGAATTTTCCAGGCACTGTCTTGTTCAGACGCACACAGAAAGTAGAAGATTGCACATAAGTGACATCTGTGGCTACGGCGAGTTGCAGGGAAGATACTTCGCTAGATTTGTTTTTTCTCAGAGCTGGTTGTCACGCGTCAGCCAGTTCCTAAGTATGCCAGGTAATCTCGTCACTTAACGGTGGCCTGGATCTGTGTGTGGCCGCAGGTTCGTGGACATCCCCGGCAGCATCGCTAAGCCAGCTCCCTGTGGTCTACACTCACCCCATGAAGTTCTACTCTGTGCACCAAACATGGCACATCTCCCTCTCCCATCTTCTCAGTTCAGCAGACTTTCAGAGAATTATCCTGGATTTACTTATTGTCTTGTTTTGTGCATAAAAGTCTCCTGCATTTGGCAGCTTTCAGTAACTAATACCTTTCTGAAAATTGAATCCAACGCGTGTTAATAGATAAATGCATCGCGGCAACTGGCGTTTATCTTGGGAATGGAAGGTGGGGCTGACATTCTCAATGCACAATAAAACAAAATGAGAAAAATCAGGTTACCATCTCAACATCTGGAGAAAAGGCATGCGACTTCTACCATCATCCTATTCATTCCTGATTTTAAAAACAAAACTCTCAGCAAATTAAAAATACAGGAGGATGTAAATGATTTGATAAAAAGAACCTGCAAAGCAAATACATTTAATAATGATCATTTAATAATAATCAGACCTGAGTGTCCCCTGGACAGGCCGCACTGAGGCCCCCCAGCTCCCACGTTAAAACCCTAACACACGCAGCTCAGGATGTTACTGTGGAGATCGGGCATCAGGAGACGGTGACGTGGAGAGAGGGGCTGCTGTGCTTACAGGAAGAGGACGCAGGGGACACGCAGGGCAGAACCGTGTGGACAGACGGACACCAAGCAGTCTGGCGCAGAACTCAGGGAGACCAGCTCTGCCCAACTTAATCTCACGTTTCCGACCTCCTGAGCTATGAGAAGAGAAAAGTATCGTGCTCCACCGTGCAGGGAAGACAGGCGCACCTTTCCCAAGTCTTCTTTCTCTTCACGTACTTCTGGTCGCCGTGGTAAGTGGCAAGAAAAAGAAAGAA